TCTCTCCCCTCCATTATTCCCTCTCCACATGACACCTACACCCTGCTTTTTAGACACTAGTCTGATTCCTATTCTGCAGCCGTTTTCCCTTCCAGTTTCACACTCAGCCACACCAGAGCCAATTTTAAAAGGTTCTTCTGCCTAGCCTGGGAAAAAAAATAAAAAATCTTGGCACTCTCTCCCTTTGATGTCTTCCCTCTCTCTCTCTCTCTCTCTCTCCTCACTTGTTCCCAAACATCCCGCGCTCATTCAGTAGTCTGATTTTCCCGAGCGAGGAGAGCGGCTCCCTCTCTTTTCATTCTCTGGTGAAAAGTGTAACACTAACACATAAACTCCCTCGCAGACTGCATACGCCGTGGGCAGTCCGTCCTTTCCTCTCCTTTTTAAAAGCACTCAAATGCACTCTGCATACACAGAGAATCGATACCTAGTAATAGCCTTAAAACACTGAATTAATTCCCTTGTTTTTTAATACAAAGGGAGAAAAAAAAGAAAAAGAAACTGCCGCTCTAAGATTTTGGCTGTAAAAACTTGAGGGCAGATGAACTGTGTGGAGAATAGTGTGAGAGTCAGCCAGCTTCACTGTTGGCATCCATTACATTCAAATAAAAGGAGATAACTGGAAGGGTTTTGGCAATTCAATGCCGATTACCTCAAAAGGGGATCTTTCTGTTAATTTTACATGAATACCACAAGGCTGTCTTTTGTTTTCACGTCTTTAAAAAGTCCTGGAAATAATTAAAACCATTCTCCAGAAGAAGAACCCTTATACTGTCGACTATTAGTATAATTTGTGCTTTGTTTCATACTCAGCAAATGCTCTTGGGTTGTTAAATCTCAATAGGATGCAAGAAACTCTGGCATGCACCTCTCTTCTCCTGCATTGCGCTTGCACTACGTGTCATGTAGCGACGGTAGGATAAATCACAATCAACGGCGACTTTAAAAACACAAATGTGCCCACATCTGATCGGCATAAGCGCTTGCACGAGAGCCAACGGCTGCAACCAATACATCTGCTGGGAAACCTGACTGCCGCCAAGAGGTTTACAGTACAGCAGCGCTGAGAAAGTTTAGAACTTTAGGAGGAGCAACACATGACGGATAAACAGATGTGAAAGATACTGTATATTCGAGAGCGGAGAACAGATTCTCAATGATTCTAGTCAAACTTCACTTTTCAGGCACTCGTCCACCAGATCTTTGTCCATATACATTTAATGCAAAGCAAATGCATTCCATTCATCCTTAAATGGAAAGCTCTTTAACATCCCCAGCAGAACCAATTAGATTTTCCTAGGTCAGCACAAACTCAAGCATAATACACACAAACACACCACTAAAGATAACATATAGGGCTGCAATTAACAATTATTTAAATTATTGATCACTTAATTACAGCTGTTTTAGTCTATTAAAGAAATCCATAATAATCTTCCATGTTGTAATCTAAGTGGTCTGACAGAAGACTAGACTTCTGCACCTCCTCTAGGCTCTGTTTGCAGGCTTTAGAAAATCTAGCCCATGAGACTTTGGCCAATTGTTTTGACTATATACGGTCAGAAAATTGTAATTGTGATTGAAATCTCCAGAAAAAGCTTTAAAGAAGCCCTTTAGTTAACCCTTTTTTTTTTGGTAAAACTACACCCAATCAAAAAAAGATATTTCATTTCTGATATAAAACAGAGAAAAGCAGCCAATCCTCACACTTGAGAAGCAGCAACCACAGAATAGTCTGAGTTTATGACGGATAAATGACTTACCGGTAATCGATTATCAAATTTGTTGCAGATTAATCTTCTGTTGACTAACTAATCGAGGAACTGACTAACAGTAATTGATCATTGCAGCTCAAATAACATAATTTCATGAACAGTTGCTGCCCCCCCTCACAAGCCTTCCCTTCTTAATGAGTGCAAATCAAAAGCCAGCAACACAGAGGAAGAGTGGGAAAATGAATGAAAATGGAGACCTATAGACAAAAGACCACCTGGCCAGTGAAAGACAAATGTGGAAGCAAGTCGGACAAAACAATCAATATAAGCATGTTACAGTATGTGCATGGTAATCGCTGGAAATAATACAAGGGAAAAATCCATTCTGATACCCCCAACCTGCTACATATTTGAAGATTTAATTGTCATTACTTGTGATATGGTCATCCTTCTTTTTTTAATTAAACAAATAAATAGGTTGGTCTGATTAAGCATGGATTTTTCCACTTATACACATGCAGAGCAGAAGAGAGAAGGAGTGGTGCACACACGAGAGCAAAACAAAACAAGACGAAGAAGCGAGTGTATGAGGAAGTCACCTTGGTCAGGAGGTGAGAAGGCTTTCCAGCTATGCTTTTCAGAATGAGCGAGGTTTCTCGGTCCAGATAGGAGTGCTTGGGTGAACAGAGGACAGGGGATAAAAAAAAATAAAACAAAAATAAAGAGAGAGCAGAAGAAGAGACAAAATATAGAAAAGTCAGTGCCAGATGATTCTTGGAGGCTTATTAATCGCAGGTGTTTTGATCTTTTCGTATAAGAGAAGCGTGGAAGCGAGAAAAGGTTCCATAAATGGAGCGCTCAGCAGTTGTGGTTGTCATTAGCTGCAGCTGTGGGTAAAGAGGCAATGATCGTCAGAAGTACTGTAGATACGTACAGATTGGAGTGTGTAAACACAGTATAATGTCAGTTCTGGCTAACCACAAAGCCTATAGTCTACAAGCTACTTTCACACACATACACACAACCCCTCTCACGCTTATGCTTACATGTGCATGCAATACACATAAACCAAAGGCTGCACACTGTAGCTAAAATGCCAATTAAAGTTTAATTAAAATTCAGTTGCTATTATTGATCTTTTGTATCAGCATTAAAAGGGAAAATTTGCCACGTTTTATTTGGATGTCCAGTCAGTGTTGATGGTAAGAAGCTTGTGCACAATGCATCCTGGTACATGTAGGCACAGTCGGCACAGCTCTGCACGCAGGAGAACTCAGCTTTCTTGGTCATAAAGTGGCAAATCTTCCCTTTAATAGACAAACCAATGAACAGAAATGGTTCAAAACTGGCTGATTGACCTGCGGCCTTACACGGCCAAAACGCATGCGTGCACACATGCATTCTCACACACTTGCACTTACAGTGGCCCGATCCACGTCACCCTCGCGTGAGGTGAACTCAAGCTGCCGTCTGGCCCGTCGCAGTGTGACATGCTGGGGGGAAATCAGGAGGTGCAGGCAAGGTGTGTGTGGATAGAGAGCCACAGATATAGAAAAGGATGCAAAACACAGACAATGTGATCACATGCAGGGGGGCAGGGGACGTGCAAGATGTTGAGGATAAAGGGTAAACTTATTCGTTGGAACTGAAGCTTTAGCATTTTCCGTCTCCTACAAGTCACCTATACACACATATCTGTTTACATACAGTATTTTAGCGTAGGTCTTTGTTTCTGAAACAGGTTCAACTCCTCTCAAATGTATCCTAGAGCGTGTTTTGCTTTTGTTAAAGAGGCAAGATGTTTGGTGAGTTAACAAAGGAGTTCCGAAATGGTAGCTGTTAACATTGTAATCCTCAGTGAGGAGCCTTAGAGGAGATTACAATGTATGCATTAACACACCATCCAATGCACAATACGCGGCCTGTATTGTGGATTGACTCGCAGTACACTTCAGGCATGCGGTTTCTTACAAACGTCATGCTGTGTGGTGAAACATGCAGGACCAGAGCTGGATTGAGGTCAATTCAGGGTCTTAAAGATTTCTTAGAAATACAAAAAAAAAGTAAATAGTGCTTGTGTTTAAAATAAAGAGTAGAAGAAGCTGAATTGACCCCGAACTTGATTCACACACATTTTACTTACCATTACACACGTACACGCAGTCTTTCACGCTGTGGCTCACACACACACATTCTCATAAGCTGATAATACTATGTCTGTCTCTTCGATATCCTCGGTGTGCGTGTGTGTCTGTGTGTATTCAGTCAGTCATACCTCTGTGCTGGTCTGGTTTTGTCCCTGCGTGCTCGGGCTGCTCTGCCCCTCCACCTCTCCCCCCGTCATCACTTTATCGATGTCCAGGGAGTCCATGCTGGACGCCGAGGCGCACGCCGAGTTCACGCTGGACCGCTGGGACGGAGCTTCCTGCTCGCTGACCGTGCCCACCGAGCCGGTCCTCCGGTGCTGCCCGCTGCCGGACGACCCCGAAGAGGGCCGTCGGAGAGTGGTGGAGGAGAAAGAAGAGGACGAGGACGAGGAGGAAGAGGTCTGACGTGCCGCTTCGTCCATGCTGAGAGAGGCTTTCTCCAGCTGAGAGGTGATGTCATCGAGGGAGATGTTGGAGGCGGCGGGGCGGGCGCTGCTGCCGCCTCGTACTGTGTTGGCCGGCGATGCCCGGGTGCTGCTGCTGGCACTTCCTGTTGGAGAGTTTAAAGTTAAAACACAGCTCAGATTAAAGAGGAAATGAAATGTTGATGGGATGCATTCTAAATCTTATTTATGCTATTTTTTTAAAGAGTAAATACATTTTTTTTTATTTATACAAAATGGATAATCATGGAAATTAAGTTAGATTGTTAGGAAACACTTTAATGATTACTAACAAATGAGACGTAGCAAAAACGACTGGCTGCATTTATATCACACCCCTGGTATAGCCATTGCTCCTATATGCTGAAGACTACATTTCCCCGCTGCAAGCAGGATGCTGCTAATTGAACCCCCTTCCTCCTCTATATTATTACTCTGCATGTGTTTGTTTTGTCTTTGGCTTTAGTTAAAAAAAAAAAAAGCATTTTTTTCCCATCAGCCTTTTACTTTAAGAAGAGTGACATCTTCCTGTTTTCTTCCATTAAGCATTCCAAACATTATCCAAGCCACACAATGTGAGACGCTACGGAAAATACAGACTTATTTGTTTACAACGATTATATTAATGTTCAGGGGTATTAATGTTGGTGGGGTAACTCTTTTGGTGTTGTGCACATTATTCAGCAGGACTACCTCCGCTGCTGCCCCCTCCACTGGTGCCTACGTGCTTGGTGCTCGCACTGCGCCCCCCTGGGCCCCGCTGCTGGCCTTTGCTCTGGCCGCGAGACGTGGAGTTCGGTTTGGAAATGGTGTTGAGCTCCTGTTCGATGGAGCAGAGGTCGGCCATCAGGGCGTCCAGGTCCACTGTGTCGCCCTGGTTCAACGCCTCTGCCAAGAGCAAAGATAAAAACAGAGAGGAAGAAGAGAGAGAGGCAGATTGGAAGGGAGGGGGTTTAATGATTTCATTTATCTGATCTTTTTCGAAGCTTTGCTGCTATCATACTGATCTGGACACTGATTTATATGAGTGCGGTCTCACCGTTTATGTTGTACATTGAGAAGCGGTAGGAGAAGTTGGCCATGTTTGTCTCCTGCCTGAGAGGAGGCTTCTGCAGTGGTTTCTGGGGCCTGCCATCATCCAGACTCTACAGAGCGCACACACGCGAAACATCAGGGCAAACATATGCAAATACCACACACACATTCTGACATTACACTCGAGAGCAGGATCTAAGCAACCATGTCTGCCTGCTAGACTCCTTAGTCACACACACACACACACACACACACAATATAAAGTGGTGGTGGGAGGGGAGTTGCTAGGATACAGTATAGGGAGACAGGATTAGCAGTGTTAAGGTTGCTATGGATACAGCCCCTTCCTTTCTGTCCGCTCTTCTACCTGTGCAAGTCTGGATCTGTGTAACCAACCACCCCCTATTTGTGTGTGTGTGTGTGTTTGTTAACCTGTGTGAGTTTGTCCAGCTCTCCCAGCCAGTCACCAAACATCTTGTCCAAGTCCTGGTCCTCCTTATCGCTGTCCTCTTCTGCTCCATGGTCCAACTCATCATCTGATACCTGCTCCATCTACACCCACACACACGCACGCACACACACAGAAAAGCAAAGGAGAAACTGTCAGATGATTCCACACATGTACACAAATTCACACGCTATAAGATCACGCCCACATAGCAGGAATGATCTAAAGGAGAAAAAAAAAACCAAAAAAAAAACCTTCAGCTCAGCTCATGCCAACCTCACTGCCTGTTACCATGACAACTGCTCACGGACCCCTAGCGGGCACTCTGCGCTGTCAAATCGGCAGAGTGCCCTGTAGTGTATTGCTCACCGCTGACACACCCAACACCTCTACTTCAGCTTCCGAGAGAGAGAGGGACGCTGATGGAAGACAGGAGGAGCAGGACAACAATCAATATCGCCTAAATTGACGTACAGAGCGCTTTTGGGATCTATTAATCTGCAGTGAAACACGGACACAAGATATCAATCAAACCACACTCAACAGTAGCAGGTGGTATTAATGGTTATGTGGGCCAGTGCGAGTGAAGGAAGGAAGGCGTAGCCGAAGCCCAGCTGTGTTCTGTCAAAAGGTGATGACCGAGCTCCCTCTACTGGACACAAGTGGTGTGACATGCAGCTGTGCGGCTGGTTGACTCAGTTCCAGCAGCTCATATCTAGCAGTGCAACAGAAAACAATCTTAGTATTGACGTCTTACAGAGATGGAAGAATTTGATTCTTATAGACATATGTCAGATGGTTAGGAATGAGCAAATACCATCATCAAAACCTCCTCTTATAACTAACCCATAAGCACAGTCACAAACATGACAGACACTGCAGATAGAATTGTTTAAACAGCGAACTACCCAACTCTTTTCAGTGTATACAAGGACACTTTTTCCAGTAGACAAAGCACTCAATCAAAACATGGAAATCAAGGAGACAAAGCATAACAGATGAGACTTCGAGAAGGGTGCAAAAATGTGTTGATTCTACAACAACAAGTAGCATCAACATGTGCTGACATCCCTCCCTATTTCTTCTAGGTCAGCGGGGCAGTCAGACTGTTTAGATATTACCCAACCTGGAGGAATGAATAAACACCCATGAGTGCCTACGTACATTGAGGAAGAATGTTTTTTTTTTTTCAAGTGGGAGGAAAGGGTGGAAGAGCTCACCTGGGATGCCTGGTCAGATCAACATATACACACACACTTGCTTACTGCACCCTTCCAGGATAAACTAAACCTGACAGGACAACTTGACATGGTGCTCTCCTTAAGAGCGCCCCTGTTTTGGTACAGTCCAGTTCCCCCTTAAAAACATTCTAATCAGATGGAATATTCCCGGGTAATCCCACTGATGTTTTCAGGGGGTGTCATTCCTTCCAGTTAACCACGCTGTACGGTATCAGTCACTCGTAGGGACTGTACCAACCCAGGATTAACCCCTCTGACCGCCGTTCTTTTGATCCAGCAAAAAGTGCTCGCGGAGCTTAATGTGTATGTGTGTGTGTCTAAAGCCCTTTACGGTTACATGGAATACTTGAGAGCAATCGGAAAGTCATGCTTTGTTGTTAGAAGGTGATAAAAGCAGGTAATAAAACAGTCAGTAGGTGAGAGGCAGTAAAACGCGCTGCGCTTGGCAGAGCAAACAGGAATATGATAGCAACACCATTGAAAATCGGCCACAGCACACAGCAGTTTGAGGGGCGCTTGTTTCAAATGAAAATGGGTCACATTCCAGAGAGTGTTCTGCTCCTTAAAGTCACTGTACATAGTGCAAGTACAAAATACACTCCCCCGATGTCACATACCATGCCAGCCCTTGTGTCTCTACAGTTGGTGTTAAAAGCTAAAGTTGCCACTGCTGTGTGTGTGTGTGTGTGTAAGTGTGCATTACAGTTTTGATGATGGACAGTTTCCTGTTGAGGCACGCATATCAAACGCATGAGGAGCATGGACTTGTCATCCTTTCGAAAAAAGATTGTGTCTAAGTATGTAAACAAAAACAAGTCAACCAAATGTGTGTGTGTATGTGTGTGTGCGCGCGTGTGAAATTATATCCACACACTCATGAACATGTGTGGGAGGCAGAACAGGAAATGGCCAGGATGTGCAGAATTCCTAATTTCCCTCATGGGCTGTTCCTTGGCAGGAAACTCCAGCTGTCCTTCGGTTTATCCATGCCACTTATTGGTGGACAGCAGGGACTTGTGGGTGGGAGGAGGGAGAACCCCTTCACCCCTCCACCATCCTTCAGGATGACCCAGTGGTTTACCAGAAAAAGAGCATACAATGAAGTTTTCCATCATTTAAATTACATGGTCCCATCCTACCACAGAAGGATCATTTGTCTATTTGGCTGCCCTCAAACGTGGCTCCATATGGGGCCCTTTGGTAACAGACATGTCTATTTGGGGGTTCCCCCAGTATGAAAAGGGTTGAGTGTCCTTGCTGTAAGGTCTGACATCATCGCTGGCTGGCTGGAGGCAGACGGGAAGAGGAAATAGCTAAAATCAAATGAGCTTGCATTGTGTTTGCCAGATGAGGTGCTTCCACATGTAAATACAGCAGCGAGAAATGAGTCTGACTGCGGGACACTTTTAACAGCGGTGCTTTAACGGCAACCAGCCTGCAGCGCTTCGTGATAATGAAAACACACATGTGCAGGTAGGTACACACAGAAATGTACATATACAATGTAACTGCAGGAGAAAAAGGGACAAAAAAGACAAGAATAAAAGAGACGAACACATAAAACCCAAAAGTACTTTGAAAATAGCTCTGCTGCTGTCATTCTAATGGAATCATAGCCTCAAAGGCAGATGATGCTGCAGGTTTAAGTGAATTACCACCTGAGGCCCTGCTTTTAAGCTCATGGAGCATGACCTGGGAGGAAGGGAGAGTGTGTGTGTGTGTGTACGTGTGTGTACAGATGCACTCCTACAGGCATCATCGCAAACCAAACAACAACAGCCTTGCCCCCCTGATACTGCACGGCCCCTCTCTCTCTCTTGTCTGACCATGACCAGCACTCATCTGTCTCCTGTGACTGCCCGGTAGCTCAGAGGTCTAGGGTGAAAGGTTAAGGGGCCAAAGGTCTTCCCAGTGGAGTCTCTCTCTCTCTCTCTGCAGCCTTTTTACAGCCCCATGTAAACACTCCCGGTTCCCGCTGATTCTGCAGTGCCGGGAAAAGGGAGATGAGGAGTGAAGGGAAAGGGACGATGAAAAGTGTGCTCTGTGAAAACTCTAAGTCTTAGAGAAAAAGCACAGTGAGCATCCGGTGCTGAAGGAGATGAAGAACTGGAGGAGTAGGAGGAGAACATGTCTATCTTTAGACTAAGTCATATCAGAGAGTATCAAGAGGATTGGAAAGGGAGCAGCATGAAGACTAGATGTTAAGTTGCTGAAGGGAAGACAGTGTCTAGAGTGGTTCTCAATAGTTTCTACGCCTAACAAGAACTCAGAGACAACTGGTATCCTGTTAAATATTAATAAAAATGTGGCTATAGGTTTCAAACTGGAAATCTTTTGGCTTTGCGAATGTATCAGGCTTAAATCATGCAACACTGTTGTTTAGTCACAGAAAGTAGGTTAATAAATAAGAAAGAGTTCACTCGAGGCAAGAAAACACCACCGAATGGGTTTGAAAGTGAACTCGTTGACTTCTTGT